TTGTACGGGTCCTCACTCCCTTCCTGGCAGGTCCGAGCCCTGCCCCGGGCGCGGGGGGGGGGACAAGCCTCCTGCATTAGAGGCGGGTGCAGGCGGAGGGAGAGCACACAGGCCCCTCCGAACAGATACTCGGGAACCAGAGCCTCGCGTTCAAGAGTTGTGAAAGACTTGGCCGAGAACCCCTGCGCGCCCTTCCTGCTCACTCACGGCGTGCGGGCGGGAACAGCGGCCCCCAGTGGACACACCGCCCGCCCTGCCGGAGCGGAGGCCGCGGTGGGCTGCCCACTCTGGGGAGCCTCGCGCACGTCTGGGGGCACGTGCCCCCTGCTCGGGACTAAGCGGCGGCGAGCTGCGGCCGCACATGCCCCCCAGACTGACCTGCGTGCGGGAAGCAGCAGCTCTCACCTCGCACGCGGCTGCCTCCGGCCCGGCCATGTGCAGGGCTGTGCGCACTCACGTGGCGCCTGCGCGTCCGCCCCCAACAGCCCCCGCGGGCTGCAAGCTGCTGGACAGCGGGCTTTCCCGCCCTGAACGAAGCACCTGTCGCCCGGGTCGGGGACTGGAGGTTTCTAGATTGGGACTTTCTCTTCCGACGAGGGGCGGGTGATCACTGCTTACTAGCGGCATGTCAGGTGTTCATCAGGTTGAAGGGGGTAGGCCTGGGTGATGGTGGGTAACAGTGGTGGTGAGCAAAATCATGGGATGCCCTTGGCAAAGATGGCAGCTTAGGGCATGGGCGACTGGTGCCTCCTCAGCCAGGGGTAGGGGGCACTTAGCGCAACAGCAGCCAGTCACTGCTGGCTCAGGGGGAAGGGGGTCCCCCTGAGGCCAATCGGGCTAACTGGGGGAGGGTCCCCCGTGGCTGATCACACCAATCCAGAAGTGCTGTGCTGCTGGCACTTCCGGGTCAGCGCAACACTTCTGGATCAGCGGGGTGGGCTGTGGTCGGCACAATCGACCATGGGAGGACTGCAGGGATCGCTTCTCCTGGCACCCTCACTCCCCAGCTGGCGCTCTCAGGGCGGACACTAGCGCTCTTGCCTGCCCCACCTGCCCATCACCTAAGCAAGGAGATGCACATTTGGTTGGGCAAGTTAACTGTGCTACCAGAACAGGCTTCTCTAACATTTCATGTTATGCTTGAAAAAGAGCGTTGTCCACTGTTGGTATTAGAGCTGCACCAATACATCAGTCCAGTATCGGATTGGCACTGATATAAAGAAAACTGACTGTATTGGAAATTGGCTTGATGTAGCCAATAAATGCTCTGTGCGTGCCCACAGCCACAGCACAGCATGTAGGTGACAAGGAGCACAGCTCAGTAGCAAGGAAAGCTGCGTGTAGCTGGTAAGTCTGTTGTAGTGGAAGGGGCGTGGGCAGATCAAGGCCCCCATGGTGAGGGAGGGAGTGGGGCTGCAGTAGGTGCTGCCCAGCTGGGGCAGGGTAGGGTGTGGGACACAGCTGGGGCTCGGGGGTGCAAGGATGGGGGAGCGGCTTCCACCACTGCATGCACCCCAGGAGGGCATGGGGGGGGGGGGGCTGCTTGTGGCCCCCTGATCAGGGCAGGCTGCAGCTGTGGGCTGGGGCCAGGGCTGCACCGGGCTCTTCCCAGTGGGGACTGGGCTAGGCTGCACTCAGGGTAGGCAGTGTTGCTGGGAGGGGGGTTGAGTGGTTATGACAAATTTTGGGGTGGCTGCAGCTCCGCCCATCCGCCATAGCTGCCATTGCCTAGCCCAGCCCTTGCTGGGAAAAGCCCGGCACAACCCTGGCCCGCAGCTGCAGCCCACTCTGCCCGGCCCCACACAGATCCGGGGGCACGTGCCCCCCATGCCCTCCCAGGGTGTGTGCAGCAGCAGGAGCCGCCCCCACCCCCCCTTCCTGTACCTCCCAGAGGAGCCATGACTCGCATCCCGCGCCCTGCCCCAGCCCCACTCTCTCCCTCCCTCACCACAGGGGCCTTGATCTGCCCCTCCATGCCCCTTCCCTCCCCACTCCCCCTTCCACCACAACAGACTTAGCAGCTGGACCCGGCTCTTCAAGCTGCCTGGCTGCGAATTGGAAATTGGATTGGTATCGGCCGATATGCCTCCTTAAAAATCGGCTATCGGTATCGGCCCCAAAAAGGTCCATCAGTGCACCCCTAGTTGCTATGGTCAGCATGGCATGGACCCAGGACTGACTTGGGAGAGGCTGCACGCAGGGCTGGACTAATCCTTTAGTGTTCCTTACGCAAACAAACTCGTGAGCCCCAGGTTGGTTGAGATCATAGCCACGGCAAAGCAGGCAGAGGGGAGGGGAAGGGAGGCAGATGGGGCCGTTTGCGCTGCTGCCGTGGAGGAAAGGACCAAGGCCCCTGCAGCCCAGGGCCCTAGGCATGTGCCTAGTATGTGTTAATCCGGCCCTGATCACACAAGTCTTTGTCAATGGCAGGGCCAGAAGAGAACACCTGCAATTGTAGAAACCATTTCCACTGGGAGTGTTTCTCAGGGTTCCTGTGAGTCACTCAACTCAGCAGCCTGTGTGGCAAGAGATAGTCACCCTTCAGGCCTTTTATTCTGCTTCCAAATAGATTGGCGTAGCACAGGTTCCATGTCACAGTCACTCTCCCTTTGTCCCAGCCAAGGTATTCTGAAAATCCCATCTCCTCCCTTGGGATTGTGCTGCCTGGCCATCACTGGGCCAGTAACTCCTGTTACTTGCTCTGGCCCAGCTTTTGCTGGCTTATATGAGATCCAAGTGATCTCCTAGGCATCACCTCAACCCTATCTTCTCTGCATCTGCTGGGGGCCAGGTAGCTAGTCACAAGTGGGATGAGGCCCAAGTCCTTTCAAGTGCCAGCTGTCCTGTGCCCAAAATCCATCTGCAGCCCAGGGTAGAAGTAGAAGCATACAGACAGATGCCACCAAGCTGTGCAGAGTAGAAGCAGGTCAGCTCTGCAGCATCATCCATATCATTTCGTAGCTTAGCTAAGGCAGCAAATTATGTATCTGGGGGAGCTGAGCTGGCTGGGGAGTGCATCCTGGATGGCAATGATGCTGAGATAGGATCAGATAACCTCAGGGGCAGGTCCAAGATTTGGCAAAGTGGGGTGCAGGAGCAGCCAGCTGAGCACCCCCCACTCCCAGATTCCACTCCCACAACCCACCTGTTGGGGAAAAAGCACACTGCAGGAGCCTCTGGGAGCATTTTAAAGGTCCCAGAGCAGGTGAGCATCCCCCAAACTCTCCTTCTCTTCTTCCCCCTCCAATCATGCTGCCTTCCCTGCTGTTGGGGTGGGGGTGGGGGGAAAGCTTCAGAGCTGCTCTTGCCCACTCCTGCAGGGCTGTGCAGGGGCTGGGCTTAGCTGAGAACAGCAGTTAGAATGGGGGGGGTCCAATTTCCCAGGCCCCACAAGAGCAGGGGAAGGAAGCTGCTGTTGCTGTCACTGCCCTAGGTGAGCCCAGCCCTCTCCCATACCCCAACAGTCCAGTTGGAGTAGACAGGAACAGCTCTAAAGTTTTCCCCCACCCCCAGAACAGCAAGGAAATGCAGCAGTAACTGGCTGCTTTCCCCAGACTGGCTCTAGCAGCACTGTCTAGGCCAAAATGGGGTGGTGGGATGTAGCCACCCCACTGCACCCCCTCTGTATCTGCCCCTGAATAACCTCTGAATGGTATCTGATGGGGCAGCTGGGACCCAAGCATGACTGTTGGGTGTGAAATGGAACAGAAGTAGAGTTTGAGGCTGTTTTGGGGAGGGGAGGGGGAAGTTGGGGAAACAGTTCCTGAGCTCTTGGTGTAGTGCTAGTGTTCGCACTGCATACAGGAGACTGGAAAAGACCTACAAGGAGACATGGAGGCCTCCTCTGAGCACAGACATAAGATCAGATTACCAGTGTGTGGGGGCTTCTCATGGAGCAGCCAACCTGCAGCAACAGTCCATGTGTCTGCAAATTGTAGTAGGGTTCCCTAACCCCTGCTGCTAAGAGAATAAGAAGGCAGTGTTAGAGGGCTGCAATCTGGTGGGCGGTTAAGGCAGGGATAGCTAGAGAAGAGTAAACAGGTATCTAAAGAACTGGGTAGACTGCAATAGATAGGAGCAGGCTGAGTAATAAACTAAGCAGAAACTCCTGGGTCAGTCAGATGTCATGTGATTGGAAGGGGTGGAACGCCAGCATGTTAAAAGCCTAGCTCCAGAGCTAGAAGTTGGGTCTAGCCTTGAGTTGTGGGATGGGAAGGGTTTTTGAGAATACAGGGTGTAATAAGGGACCCCGGGCAACATGGGTACTGTGGGAGGCTAGAGAGCAGGTGGACTGAAGGCAAGAAGTTGCTGGGCCCCAGAGACTCCATATAATGGTGTGGAAACAGTTTAGTTAAATATTTTCTTTCCTTGTTTAACTAGAGTTCTTAATCGTAGCTCCAGGGTCAGTGGAGGTCATGGTCAGGGTGCTGGGAAGGCACTCTGTTATAAGGGGCTAAGGCCAGGGTAGAGCCCTACAAGGGCCTGGGGCCTGATGGGCTATTTGGGGCTGAAGCCAAGTAGCTTAGAATCTGAAGGTAGTGTGGCCTTGCAAGGATGGGGACTTGGAGAAGGGGGTGTCTTAAACTTGTATAGGGCTGGAGAGCCTGGTGAAGGGAAGAGGGTGACACCTGTGAGGCATGTTTATAGTTGGGGGTGGGGTGAGCTACTGCCTCAAAGGTGATTAGGCCCGGGAGGCCACTACTAGAGCCTGTAAGGCCATAATTGGGGCCAAGAGTATGCAGTGCTAGTGAGACTGCTTGCAGAGGCTTGAGCTCTGGGGTCAAGGACCAAGAGACTAAATAAAAGAAGTCCTGGGCAGGGTGGGAAACTGAACCTGATGATGAGCAGGACCAGGTGAGACATCTCAAAGCTCACAGCTGCTGAGGGTAGTCTCCCAGCTGGATAATCATATCTTCCATCAAGGCAGGGCAGGCAAGAAAGCAGGGTGATTCCCTGGGAAGCCATAGCGAGGCAAGCAGGATGAATGAGGCTGCTGTAGCTTATCCAGGGGCAGCGTGAGCACAGTCTTTCTACAGTGGGGAGGGTCCAGAGAGCAGAGGCTTCTCACCAGGGGCCAGGCATTTGTCCCCTTCTAGCTGTATGTCACCTCGATGCAGTTTCTGGAGCTGGGAAGACTCACCACTGTATGGTGTTGCTGCATCCTGCTGGCTTCATTTCTTGAGAGATCTGCCGCAACCCAGCCAGGGGGTCAAACTAGAAGCAGGGGTCTGTGAGGAGGCTTTTGTGCTAGCTTCTTATGTAGGAATAGCACTCATAGAGAAGTTAGGTTGGAAGGGACCTCTGGAGGCCAGTTAGCCCAGCCTGAGGCTTTCCAGATCATTACATACAAGTGCTTGTCTGATCTATTCCTAAACTAAACAATCAACCGTATTGCACAATGACAAGGCATATTACACCAAGAGCACCCTACCCTGCCACCAGTAAAGGTG